CTCCTTTGTGCCCGGCACTCACCACGGATTCATCATATGCAGCCCTCCCAGTAGCCCTTCAGGGTGCTGTCACCCTTGCAGAAGAATGAGAAAGCCATGGCCTGGGACAGGTTACGTACTTAGGTCACACAGCCAAGGAGCAGCACAGACCTGCTCTCGCCCTGCTCTGCAATACCTCTGTCCACAACCTGGTACTCTAGGATATCAGCAGGAGCTTGAGGAATTCCTCCTTCAATGAGTCCTGCTGGGATGTAAGACCGTTGCTGAAAGTGAACTGTTTTTGTTCTGTGAACGTAAATGCTGTCACCGCTATCCTCATCTCATGCGCAACTTCCCAAAAGGTGGTCATGCATTCCTGGGGTTCTGTAGAACCTTCCAGGGATCAGTGAGGTCAAAACTATGCTCATGATAGTACTAAGAGTCATTTGCCTCTTTCCCTGTGTGGCATTTGCATTGATGCTACAAAAACAATGGCAGGTAAAGCTATGGGCGCCTGAGGACTAATCAGAGCCCCTGCTCCCAGCCATACTCACTGCCACCAAATCACTCACTTCAACACACTTGCAGCGTTTGAGAAAATGCCAATGTCACTTCAAACGTCCTTCATGAAGGAATGAAAATTATGAATGTTATTCAACACTGACCTTGAGCACATGACCTTTGTAATATCCCGTGTAAGGAAATGAGAAGAACTCATGAAGCACTTCTGGTATGCACTGAAGCCAACAATTATCTCAAGAAAAAGCACTTATGTGATTGTGCACATTGCAAGCTGAACTAGACACTTGTTTCATGGAACTACTTCACTTGAAAGAACAAGTAACCTACAAACTATAGTTACTAATTCTTGGGTGGTTGGCAGGCATTTTCTCAGAATGAGGCTGTTATGTTTACAAAAGCAACTAAGAGTATTTGGGTTGAGCAATAAAATTTGAGCATTCAAAAAACTTCAAATTTTCAAAACATGCATGTGTGTTTGACAGTGTCCCAATACTAAAAGTCTTTTCTAAAGACGTTGATGAAAATATTAATGCATGTGATTTTTTTAATATTGTATAATTAAATGTGTCATACATTTGCATAACTCATTGAACATTTGCATAACTCAATGAACCAATATTTTCCAAATGACCAATGCATCATGTTGCAAAATACTGCATGGGTAAAAATGCATTCAAAGTGCAGACTATAATAATAGATTTTAATGTAACAGGGAATAAAAAGTTCATTGATATGGGTTCTGATTCCACATTGTAACTAACCTTTAAGAAACTATCACTTGTCAAGTTTTGGTGTGGTACCAAATAATAGCCACAATTATCAACAAAGTCTATGAAAATATTCCTCTCTTTTTCAAGTATATGTTTACATGAGATTTTTATATATCACAAGCAAAAATAGAAAGATTACATTAAAAATATGCTTCAAGCCCCCTTGCCCATGACCTGGCCTCTACCCCCACATCCACCACCTTTCTGCACAGCCTCTTGTCTCTGAGGAGAGCAGCAGTCTAGATGCAGTGACCTGGTCTACACCTTGCTGCGTCTCACTGTGTCTGAACCCGGCACAGAGTGTGGCATGCCTGATAGGCACTGGATGCCTGCTATTTGGAATTCATTTAAAGCATTTCTATTGTAAGAGAGAAATGACTGAGTATTTTTAAATTATAGTATTGATATTAGCAAAGAGATGCTTCCATTTCCCCTCCACTCATACAAAAGCACTGGAGAGGAAGAATTTCCAGTGGTGTTTCTGGCTCAGAATTGTAAGATCCCACAGACTCAGTCCGTTCTGCTGATGGACGGCGGGACGGGAGCCAGCCCCTCTGGCACAGGCGCATTTGTCAGCTGCAGGTGCACGGAGTATGTGACACATATTTGGACAGCAGTGACAAGGTCATGTGGCAAGAACGCTGCACAGGCTTCAGGTGCAGAAGGCGGCACCGAAGGACATTTAGGAGCATTTTCGCCCATCCCAACTATGCAGACGGCTTGTTAAGTTCACATGCAATCTGTGCCTACAATATTTACCAATTTGTGAAACGTATTCTTAAGTGTAAGTCAAGGTGTAAATTTGTGTTTGGGTATTCTACAACTTTTTTTAAGGCCTGTCTTTTTCTGCTTATTCTATTTACGAGCAGAAAATGTGAGTTTGTATTTATGGAACTCTTTTTTGCAACGCCATGGATGCCCCTCCTTCAAAGATCAATGAAGACAAATCCTGAAGATGAACAAACAAGAAACAAATGCCTTGCCTTGAACGGAAATTATATGGCCTTATGGATGGAATCTCCACGCAATCTGAACAGTGAATCTCAGTTCAGAATCACAAATCCCAGCTGCTTCTCACACTGGCTTTCTCTTGGGGAAAAGCTGCCGGGTTCCCTGAAGATATGAAGAAAAAAGGCCCCTGAACAATCTCATTTGTCAATTCAAAGTGCCTGTGGACTTTCAAGCCCCTTTCCTCTTCACGTTTGATTTTCTTTCCTTAAATTACTCATCGGAGAAGACACATTTTTCTCCAAAATATGGCTGTCAATTTAGGGTGACCAAGTAATAAATTCCCCTAAAAGTACCTTCACAGAGTGTGGTGTAGGCAGCCAATAAGGATTTCTCTTTAAGCCTTCCCAGAAATGAAAATTTGAAATGTTACTTTTTGTGTCCAAAATTTATATTTACAACCATGTCTAAGTTACCATAACCTAAACTCCAGCTTGTTTGGTACCTTGCAGAAACATCATAAATTGACTATATGTACAATTATAATTTGAAATAATTCATATATTTTAAAAGTTACAGATAGCATCTCTGTAACTCATGGGGAAAACCAAGTAAATACAATAACATGCTTTCTTTTTGTGACTACAATGGCTTGTGCATTATGTGGCCATATTTTAATAAACACCCACCAACCTGAGGCCAACAGAAGTGGGACAAGGGGTCACTCGTGGAGAACAGAAATGGAATCTGAAGCTCCAGACGCCAGGGACTGGATGCACAGCTCAGAGAAGACCATCCAGCTGAACTAGCAGGGACTGTTTCTGTTTTCTCCAGGGCCTATTCCTGCTGCTTAGGCATTACAAGGCAGGCATCAAGTTCTAGGAACTACTTTAATGTCCTCTCACCCCATGGGAGATACCTACACTGACACTTTTAATTAAGAGTTTGCTCACAGCAAAATCCCATCGCTGTTCTTTGTCTAGGTCATAGCAGATGTCCCAAAGTAAGAATTTTGTCTACCTGCTTAAAACCAATTTTCTGTAACAGATAATATTGTGGATAACTGGTGAATTTTTTAAAAAATGAACTAATAAATGAATGACCAAACAAAGGCTATGAGGAATTGGGTGCTTCCTGAACACTCACTTCATCTCATCTCCTTTCCTTTTCACTGTCAAGGTCAAAAATAAGTTAGAACATATCAGAGGGGCAGAGAATGCCCTGAGGCGGTGTGTCATGAGAGCACTGCCTGGATCCTGCAGTCTGTCCAGAGGGCAGTTTGGAGGGGAAGACATTCTGCCAGCGGGAGGGGAGGAAGGGCGCTGGCCCAGCCTTGGCATGACGCCCAGGCCACTGCAAACACCACAGTGCTGGAGAGGCGTGAGGGTCATCAGGCCCCCAGGAGAGCTGGGAAGCAAATCCAAGTCCACTGGGGAGAGGGAAAGAGGATGAGAATTTGAGTCCTCAGCCGAGCAACTAGGAAGAAAGTAGGGAAGCTTCCGAGATGGAAGGCAAGGTGGCGAAAACTGACCTGCATCCGCTGATCTTTGTTCGCTTGCTACCTCTCCAGGCTAGACTGGAACCATTTCATTTCCTTCTTCAGGACCCAAGTTGTGATTTCTAAAATTGTCATGAATACAACGAAAGTGTTTCCATGGAGCCCACCATATGAAAAGGCAGACTGGTTCATCCGTGACTGTCCCTTACAAAACGTCAATGCAATACCTTGTGTTTTATTAATGAAGAGCATTGCCCAGAGCATCTTTTCTGTTTTTAAGTGAAAATCTTTCTTCTATTATTTGAGTCCAAATGAATCTCCTATGTAGAGAGGGATAGAGGGATCCAAGTTTTCTACTTCCAGAACGACATAATTTTTTTTTTTTTTTTTTGAGATGGAGTCTCGCTCTGTCGCCCAGGCTGGAGTGCAGTGGTGCAATCCCGGCTCACTGCAAGCTCCGCCTCCTGGGTTCATGCCATTCTCCTGCCTCAGCCTCCTGAGTAGCTGGAACTACAGGCACCCATCACCACGCCTGTCTAATTTTTTTTATATTTTTAGTAGAGACGGAGTTTCACAGTGTTAGCCAGGATGGTCTCGATCTCCTTACCTCGTGATCCACTCGCCTGGGCCTCCCAAAGTGCTGGGATTATGGGCGTGAGCCACCGCGCCCGGCCTAGAACCACACAATTTTCTAAAAGTTTCATTGCTTAATATTTCACCACAACCCCACTGAGTATTACTGATGACCTTACACTTCATTTTTGAGACTCCAATGTTGATCACTATTGACCTTGTCTCTTAAAGAAGCAATAAAAGACTTAGCTGTGGTGATGGAGTGGTATCAACATAATAAAGAGAAAAAACAGTAAAGATACTGGGCAGGCAATGAATTTTAAAAATCAGTTAATGAATCAATGCCATTTTCATTTTGTCACAAAAATCCTGAGTCAGAGACAAGGCTGGATCCTGATTTTATTGGCATTTCTGGCAATGTTAATTAAATGAAAACCCTCCACTGGTTGACTGAGAAAGCACACAAGGAAAGGAGATGACTGTTATGGATTTGTGGATGCCATCACTTCGGTAAGACGCTGAAACGGTGTTTTCATCAGTAGCTGCAGGCGATGGAAAATGGCTGATGTTCTGCGCTTAGCATGTCTTAAGCATGTTAAATCATTTAAATATTGTTTATGTCAATCAATATAAACTACTACTTTGATCATTTAAAGAGGCCGCACTATTTTATCACTTGTCTAATAGCTAATAGCACATCAACTACTCACTTTTTTCACCTGATCTCATCTGGGGCATTCTGGGTAAACACTGGCAGAAGGCGCACAGTTTCTCAGCTTCCGCAGAGCACCCGAAGCACGAGGAGACTCCTTGGGAAGACCTGTCTCCTTCAAGACCCTTCGTCAGTCTGGTGGATTTCAATCCTGAATGAATTTCTAAGCACACTATGATTTGGGGTGCAGTCATAAAGACAAGAAGATTAAAAAGCAAAATAGACATGATTCTCTTTTTGTTGTAGGAAAACACGCACACAGCAGCACATAGCGTTAATCGAGCATAGATAACTCCTGTTCTATAACTACTGTTCTGAAGTCACCCACTGTGTTCTGTTTTCTTATGTTCTTGTCATTCTGACTCCACCCAAAGTCAAAAATTTCCTAGTTTTCAACAACATGAAATATCAAAGCCTAAAAGCTATAAGAGGATCAAATCTCTCTTTCTTTAATCCTAGAAGGCCCAGGCTTAGTTAGTTAAGAAATTTTGAGCAATGAGTACCCCTGAACAGGGAGGGAGGAGACATATAAGCAGAGGATGTGCTCCATACATAAAGAAATGAGCATTTAATAGGAAAAAAATTAACCATCCAATGGAGAGTTGTTGAAAACTTGAATGCAAACACAAAATCACTTGGGGGATAATTGGAAAAAGGCAAAGTATTTGGAAATGACATGATTATAATAGCATGCTTCCTGAAGGCTGAGAGCATTAAGAGATGACCAGAATGGGTAATTGCTTCTTGAAAGAGGTGACTCACAGAACAATTAGAGGCATGGCATTAGAAAAAGAATGAAGGATCAAGTCATAAATATAAATAAATACAGTATAAAGTTGAGCAAAGATAAGAATTGGTACTATTTACTGTAAGCCATTTCTTCAAGAGAAGCATAGGAGCCAGTCCTCAGTTCAAAGGAAGTCTGGAAATCAGGGCAGGAAAAGGGTCTCTGGATTCCACATGGAGTTTTGTGTGGTGCTTGGCAGTTTTTCACTCTTGTTTCTCCAATAGGCTAAAATATAAATGTTTCAAGGGCAGACAAAACCCACTATTTTTCTATCACATTGAAAACAATTTGGCCAGGCAGAGTGGCTCACGTCTGTAATCCCAGCACTTTGGGAGGCCGAGGTGGGTGGATCACTTGAGGTCAGGAGTTCGAGATCAACCTGGCCAACATGGTGAAACCCTCTCTACTAAAAAAATACAAAAAAGTTAGCTGTGTGTGGTGGCACGCGGGCCATGCCTGTAATCCCAGCTACTCAGTTAGCTGAAGCATGAGATCTTTTGAATGTGGGAGGCGGAGCTTGCAGGTGACAGAGGAAGACCCTGTCTCAGAAAAAGAAAGAGAAAGAGAAGAGGGTTGGGGGGAGGAAGGGAGAGAAGGCAGGGAGGGAGGAAGGGAGGGAAGGAAGAGAGGAAAAGAAGGAAGGAAGGGAAACAGAAGAAAGGAAGAAAAACATTTAACAAAGGATGTTAACAGGCTTTGAATGTTGCCTCCAATATGCATTTAAAAGGACTTTGCTTTGATATGATCATGCATAACACTGTCATGAAACTTACAAAGTACTCCTTTAAAAGGTGATAGACCATTTCACAAATCAATGACTATAAATACTAAAAATCTTAGGTACTTTTTTTTAACTAATAGCACATTTATTGTTGATCAAAATTATACTTGATTTTTGAAGCCTTTGGGAAAAAAAAGGTCACAATTATCTTCTCATACACGTTGCACCTGGAACTTGTCACTACAGCATCCTGTTGTGCTGCTTGGCCGAGATGTTCATATTACAATCTATGATGCAAAAACACAAAATGAAAACAGCAAACTGCACACCCGGTGTATTCTGAATGCTCTTTGTTGCTGTCATATTTCAGAAAGTTACTATGTGTCCAATACAGGATGGAAGTAGAATAGTTCAACACCTAGATTCATGATTTAAAATTGTAGTTTACATTTTAAAATCTATTAGTGGATAAAATATTCAATCTGTTTACTTTTCTTCTCTTAAATCTATTTCTCATTATCATCAAAAAAAAATAGCCAATGAGAAATCAAATTGAACATTTGTTGCTGAAGAAAAACTGAAATTTCCTTTTTAAATTCTGATTTCAGATCAAATACTCAGAGCAGATGACATCCAGGAAGCCACACTTGCAACACAGCTCTGGGAAAATTCCTCATAAGTCCATGATGCCTGTTGCTTTGTTGTTGCTGTTTTTAAAGTGATGGCAGCTCTGCTCAAAAACGTTTAAATCGATTTCAAATAAATAAAATCAAAATTCTGAAGTAGACTGAGAAAAAAACCTAAAATGTTGAAAATATCCTCAATACTGGTTCATAGTATTTCTTAAAATAGAATTTTCTATTATTTGACAAGTTCTGACCTTCTTAATACTCTGCACAAAAAGGAAACTTACAATGGAAAACAGTCCTGAAGAACACGCACAAAAGTGAGAACAGACTCTGAGCAGAGGAATTCAGGGTTTTCACTTTCTCATTTTTTTCTTATCTGCATTTTCTAATAAGTCTACAACCAACATAAATTGTTTACAGTTTAACAAAGTATTAAGTTTTAAACTAGTGTGAGGTATCAGAGGAGAAAATTTCATTTAAAAATATAATTAATAGGCTGGGCACGGTGGCTCACGCCTGTAATCCCAGCACTTTGGGAGGCCGAGGCGGGCAGATCATGAGCTCAGGAGATCGAGACCATCCTGGCTAACACGGTGAAACCCCGTCTCTACTAAAAATACAAAAAATTAGCCAGCGTAGTGGTGGGCACCTGTAGTCCCAGCTACTTTGGAGGCTGAGGCAGGAGAATCGCTTGAACCCGGGAGGCAGAGCTTGCAGTGAGCCGAGATAGCGCCACTGCACTCCAGCCTGGGTGACAGAGAGAGATTCCATTTCAAAAATAAATAAACAAAAAAAAAACATATATATATATATATATATATATATATATAGTCTACTGTAAGGCATTGCGCATGCCTGACGCTGAGAAAAGTGCAAATATGAGTAAAATCTCATTCCTTCTTTCAAAGACTTTAGACCTCCATTGGAGTCATGATTAAATTACAGAATAATAATATTAACAGTAGATAGCATTTAACCCCAGATCACTGAGTAAGGCACTTTTAAATACTTCTAATCTTTACACTCACTTCGCAAGTTGGAAATTATCTGTTTCACAGATAAGGAAACCAAGGGTCGGAGAAATGAAACTATCTGCGCACAGTTTGCATGCGGCCAGATTTGCATTCTTTTCATTCCATTGTGTTTGGTAAAATATTCCCTTTAAAAGAGTAACATGTATGCCAAACAAGTGATAAATGCTCCAAAGAATTACTTGGCATTCAAACCAGATATGATTTATGCTTACAGGGACGTCGCCATGAACACACATTATTGATTCCCAATCATGTGCGGTTAGGTTGGCTGTAGAGAGTTCCAGAGGATGGAACGCCACATAACAGAATGGATTACACTGATTTTAACACGGGAGTTAAGAGTGGGGAAAACCAAGTGTCTCATGTCAAGCTGAGGAACAAAAACTTTCATTATCTAGCTCAAATACAAATAATATAAACACCATTTTCAACATAGATATACTATACTTTTCAGGAACTTTCCAAACCATTGTCTCATTGATTCTTGAAAAGTAAAGTAAGCAAACCTATAAACATGTAAAATGATTGTTGATTGAATCAATCAAGTTACTTAACAAAGGACACCTAGCAAGTTAGTGGGAAAGCTATTACAGAAATTTAGTGCTCTTCCAGCCACAAGGCTGCCTGTGCATCCACACAGAGGCTCCATACATGGGCAGAACACACCCATACCAGAGGCTCCGGGCTCGGGTGGGACACACCTACATGAGAGACTCCTCCGTGAATGGGGGGACACACCCACACCAAAGGCTCCGTGCCCGGGCAGGACACACCCACACAAGAGGCTCCGTGCCCAGGCAGGACACACCCACACGAGAGGCTCCAAGCACCGGGGGACACACCCACACCAGACGCACCATGCATGGGCAGGACACACCCACACGAAAGGCTCCGTGCACTGGGGGACACATCTGCAGGAGAGTCTCACTGCACGATGGGGACACACCCATACCAGAGGCTCCATGCATGGGCAGGACACAACTCACACGTGTTCCCTTCCCCCATAATATGGTCAGGAATATTTTGCAAGTCAGCTATTGCTAATAATAAGAATAAAAGTAGTAACGCTAAGCAGACTTTACACATATTCTCTCCTGGAGGTTGATTTTGTTATAAACAAGTGGACAGATAAACTTTGAATAGAGGAGGAAACTGAGGCAATCAGGTTTTAAGGAGTGTTCCCGAAGCCACACATCTGGCAGGTTCTGGAGCAGCCAAAGCCAGGCGGAGCCGATTCAAGTCCCCGAGGTGTGTAGACGCTGGCTTCGGTTAGGTTAACCTCCCCAAGTGTCATCACTCAGGGCTCACGTCCTTTGCGGAGTGCTGAGGAGTCTAGGAAAACTAAAGACTAAATAAATGAAACTTGACACACTCAGACAAAAACCACTATCATCACTTAGTCATCTACCAACTTAGGATGAGAACTCAGTCCTGCTGGGAGAGCAGCGCTTCTGGAGGGAAGCACCTTCCGCTGCCAGGTGGGGTCTGCTGCCAGGTGGGGTCCCCGGCCCAGTTACACATCCGCTTTCCCCAGGGCTGTGAGTCCCCCACTCCTTGTGCTCGCCAGGCAAGCGCATTCATCCTTAGCTTCATGGCTGGCGTCTGAAGGTGCAGCTTTTATGACTGCCTGGAAAACCTAAGTGAGTGACTACAGGTGTAGCTGGCAGATAATTCACACGTGTTTTCCAGGTTTTCCAGGCAGTCATAAATGCTGCACCTTCAGACGCCAGCCACGCACCGCCCTACAGCACTTTCCACTCCTGGTTCTTACTTGCCTTTCCCAAGGATCCATCCACCTATATGAAAGGCCGTGATTTGCTTCTTTTCCTCCAAGCTGGTTTTCTAACTCTGGAAAACAGAGCTACGGTGTATGACAGAGGCAAAAAAGTTACATTCCTAAAAAGCACCTGACAAGATTTGGGGATCCGTGGATTCTCCTGTTAGGTCTCTCTTCAGAGTAGAAAATGCAAAACTACAGTATTTGTTGTTGATACAAACCTTTCTTTCAATGTCTTCACAAAGCCTTGCATCTTCTTTATCCTAGTATTAAAAAGTAAATATAGGAATCAACTATTGCAAGAAGGATGTTGTAAAATAAATCCTTAATCTTCCCCGCCTCTACTCAGCTTCTCAGGGAGGTCAAATTCTTTCTCATAAACATCATTCAGGAGCTTGGCGTAAAGCCTCAAGCCTCATCCTCACTATCGACTTGCGGCTCTGTTCCTCCTACTTCCTTCCATTTTGTTTCCTATTCTAAACTCTTTGTTTTTATGTACATCTTTTTGATCATTCTTATGCAAAAGGCAGCATGTCATACCTGTATTCTCTGTTGCACTTTGATTTTTTTTACTTAATATAACATCTTGGAGCTCCCATCCTTCAGCTGTATGAGTCTATCTAATTATTTTCACAGCTGTATTATATCCCATTCTATTGGTAAAATACTAATCAACCAACCCTGTGGATGAGCATTGCATTTGTTTCTATTAATAGTCATAAATACACTGTAATATATTAATATTTGTATATTAATCTAACATGCACAGGATGCTCTTGGAGGAAGAGAAAATCATCACCCCAGAATCAGAGTCCATCTTCCTCTCCCTCTTCCTGTCCTCTCTCTCTTTATTGAATGTTAATATAACAAATATTAATAGTTGTTAATTAATATATTTGTAAGATATTCCTATCATAATAATGGTTTAAAAAATGTGCAGAAGATATTCCTAGCGATGATAATAATGGTTTAAGAAAAGTACAGGTTTAATTTGAATAGAAAGAGAAAACCCTCTTTTCCAAAGGCTGCATTGATTCATACATGACCCTAATAAGAAGCATTGCTGCTTTTCTGCATCTCTATTAATATAAAAATATAGTATTCAATTACCTGCAGGAGGGATATTGTAAAACAAATCCCTAATCTGGATTTATTAAGCACTGGACATCGTCAATCTGATTTAACAACAAAAAAACCTCATTTTTATTATCTGCATTGGTTTAAGTAGGAATGATATGGACATATTTCCTTATGTCTTCTGGAAATCTGTATTCCTCTTTGTGAATTTCCTGTTTGTCTTCTTTGCCTTTCTTTTTACTGGGCTTTGTGTTAATGATTTATGAGACTTGTGTAAATCAAGAACATTTGATTTGTATTGCAAATACTTTCTTCCTTATTTTGTTTAGCTTTTGACTTTATGAAATTTTCCAAAGAGAAAAGTTTGATTTTCATGTAGATAAACACTAAGGCTTTGGAGATAATTACTTCTTCTGACATAGCCTTTTGAGACTCACTGAATATCCACCCTCATCTTTAGTCCCCTCTACTGGGGCCACGCTCAGCTCCTGCTTGGCCACACTCCAGCCTCAGGCCAGAGGCCTTGCGATGCCCCACGCTGCCTCCACTGCCGCACACTGGTCACCTAATATCTTCCAGAGTCTCTATTAAACTCAAGATCAGTTACTCCTGTGTGCAAGGTGATATGAAAGGCACTAAAATGACACCAAAATGAATTAAGTTGAGACTCTTCCTTCAGAAAACGTGAACCGCTCAGAAGAGGCAGTAGACGTACACAAACAGCTCTAACTAAAGCCAAATTGTGCTCTGGACGGCGTAGAAAGGACAAACAAAATACCAGTGGAGGTTAGCGGAGGAAGAGACGCTCCCCGGAGAAGAAGGATCCAGAGAGCTGCAAGGACGAGGCTGGCTCTGCAGCAAGCCCTGGAAGTGGGTGAGAGCTGGAAAGGCAGAGGCGCAGCAGGCATCGGGCACAGCACCACAGAGGCCTGAACGTGCACAGGATGCTCTTGGAGGAAGAGAAAATCATCACCCCAAAATCAGAGTCAATCTCCTGCTCCCTCTTCCTGTCTCTCGCTCTCTTTATTGAATACACAAAATTACCCATGAAATTTTTAGACAGCTTTTTCAAAAGTAGGAAACACCTAAATACTATTAAAAAGGTTGATAACAAGGAATCAGAGAAAAACCTGAGTGCCATGATGCCCGACCACTCCTATGCATAACCCTTCTCTAAAGCATCCCTCAGAGCTGGCCACAGACCACACGGAGATACTCTCAAGGATAGGAAGCTCGTGTCATCCTTGGAGAGAGCCCTGCGTACGTGGCCCATGGATATGTGTTTTTGGCATTGCCATTCATACTTTCCATCTTGCTTCGGAAAGGGATCGAACCTTTTCAAAACCGTTACACATTGCTTTACAACTTCGCAGGTAGCATAAATTAAAAAGTGCTGCTTGCACATAAGATGTTTTAGAACCAATGAGTCCAAACAAATCAAGCACTAAGAACTGGAGAAGGCTGGGCGAGGTGGCTCACGCCTGTAATCCCAGCACTTTGCGAAGCCAAGGCGGGTGGATCATGAGGTCAGGAGATCGAGACCATCCTGGCTAACACAGTGAAACCCCATCTCTACTAAAAATACAAAAAATTGGCCAGGCGTGGTGGTGGGCGCCTGTAGTCCCAGCTACTTGGGAGGCTGAGGCAGGAGAACGGCGTGAACCCAGGAGGCAGAGCTTGCAGTGAGCCGAGATCACGCCACTGCACTCCAGCCTGGGCAACAGAGCAAGACTCCATCTCAAAAAAAATAAAAAAGAAAGAACTGGAGAAAATCCCAGTGTTCCAATGTTAATAACATTCCATTTTTAAGGATGAAAAGATATTACAGTGCCCAGTATCGTCAGAATTGTCGTGTGTATAATTAACACGTTTAAAGTATGCTGAGGATGAGGAAGTGTCATCCAAAAGCACAGTTCTATTTTTGCTTTTGATTTTGATTGCTCCCACTTCTATGCTATTGACATACATGATTGTAAAATACATGCACCCTGGGCTGCGGCGCGAGGAGGATCCCATCATAATACTTGCATCTGAAGAGCTCCTCCAGGCTGGGATTGTTTTAAGTGCTCCAAATGACAACACCGTTGGGGCTAGGCAAAGCACGGAACAGGGAGTTAGCGCAGGACGGGGAGCTGGCACAGAGTGTCGGTGTGAGGAGATGAAAAGGTGTTGGAACTAGACAGTGGCCGTGACTGTGCAACACGGAGAACATGATTAATGCCACTGAACTGCACATTGAAAATGGTTAAATGGCAAATCGTGTTTTTATATGTTACCACAAAAATCATTTGCATTTTACCACAAAAATAACACATCTTTGTGATCAAACATCAGAAATATTTTCTATATACAGGAGTAGTAGTTATTCTTCTTTCTAGACAGGGTCTCTCTCTGTCACCCAGGCTGGAGTGGAGTGGCACAATTGTAGCTCACTGCAGCCTCAACCTCCTGGGCTCAAGCGATCCTCTCACCTCGGCCTCCCAAGGAGCTGGGACTGCAGGTGCACACCACTACATCTGGCTACCTTTTTTTGTTTTGCTAATTTTTTGTAGAAACAGGGTCTCACTATGTTTCCCAGGCTGGTCTCAAATTCCTGGCCTCAAGCAATTCTCCTGCCTTAGCCGCCCAAATTGCTAGGATTACAGGCGTAAGCCGCTGTGCCTAAACAATACATATTTATAAATAAAGTTTATAATATGTCTTCTTACAACTTTGCAAGGTAATTAGCATTTTACCCCAGGATTACATATTTAAGTAACTTCATCATAGGCAACTGAAAGCAAATCCACAGGTATTTATTATACATCTACTGTATATAAGACACTGAATGACACGTAAGATGACAGGGCACAACCTCGGTCTTTGAGGAGGTCAAGCCAGTAATCCTATGCCTAAAAATTTTAATATAATCGATATCAAATAAATGTCATATGATTAATTTGTCACATGAACGTATAAATGAAATGCCAGGTGAACTACAGTTCATTGACAGCAGGGTTAGCTCACTGTGGCCTATTGGCCAGGAAGGGCTAATTGAGTCCTGCTTCTTTTTAATTGTTATTACAGCTATTATAATGCATATAAAATGCTTGCTCTTCTTGAGCCCTCAAAAACATGGGCCAAATTTTAGGGCCAATTACCTTCAACCCCATGGGTTACTTCACATCAACAAAGCTTTGTTCCAGTCATGTTAGAAGCAAAGACGGAGCTGTTAGAACTGAAACACGTGAGCCATCCTGCACCCCTGGAAGCAGCAGGTAATGCCAACCAAGCAGCGGTATCTACGAGGGACACAGTGTGAAGCCTGATACAGAAAATGCCTCTTCTGGGAAGTTACATATAACCAACATGGTTCACTGGAAGAAGAAAACACAGCCTTTGAAATCGCTCAAAACAGGGTTCCAATCCAAGCCCCATCACCTCCTGCGTGACACCGACAAGCTACCTAAACTCCCCATCTCATTGTTTTTAATCTTGTTTATTCTGCCTTCCTTAGAGAGCGACTGTGCGGTGGAGATGGGGCCAGGTATATGGGAACGGCTGGACAGTGCCTGGTGCATGGTGAAGCTCAGGATGCCTTCGTGTGCTCCCCAGCCCTCCCTGTCCTGTCTCCCGTCATTAGTGCTTGGGCAAAAGAGCCAACGTCTGGCTGTCCCTATCACCTTTTTCCCCAGCAGCTTAGATCCTTGGCCCAGATACCTAAGGTCTAGGTGCTTGGGTTTGCCATTGAATTCCAGTGATAGTGCTTACATTAAGAAAGACATTTTGATGCCCTCTAAGAAATTAAATCTGCTACTGGCTGTTAGCAAGTCACTAATATGCATGGATCCCCTCAGCAGCCTGAGTAGATTTCCATAACAAGTCAGTTAAGCACAGATGACAAATTCAACCACCAGTGTGCACAAGGCATTGAGGAGAGAGCATAAACTCACCGCAGTCAGAGGGCCTAGGTTATATCACTATTGAAATATGCCATTTGCATAACAGCACCCTCTCCTCGAGGGTAAGCAAGGTAAGCCAGTGGCTTGTTTGCCCCTCTTAGCCTAATGCGCTGAGACAAACATCTGCATTCTCATTCCCGCTCTCAGAACATACCCTTATCCTTGGCAGAGGATGCCAAAGAAATTAAAAACTGTCTTTGCTCTTCATCTAACAGTCTTCCCTACTCATCCAGATACAGACAGGATACCTTTCCACAACTATCCACGAATATAAGGAAGGAAGAATGAGCTGTTTTACAAGTGTATCCTCTTTGACTGTCTGTTTTAGATCAGAAGCTGCTTTGGTGTTTTCTAAAAAACCTGAACTAACTTCCTGAGGACCCATATCCCTTCCAACAAACACCTCTTCCAAGCTGTGTCAAGCACCAGGGGTGACCTGCGTGGCTCCAGCACCCGCGTACAAGCTTCCTAGGGGTCACTCCTCCTCTTTCTTCGAGGTGGCAGCCAGGAAGCTGCAGGGCAAGTTTAAGAGCAAAAAAAAAAAAAAAAAGTGACTCCTGGCAGGGCAGCGAGTGTCCCCGCCTGTTTACAGCCCTGGAGGATAGACTCAGATTGCATCTCTCAGACTTAATGAATCCGGGAGCTCATTACACAGCCTCCTGTGTGATGATCCATTTACACAGCTTCCTGACTGCGGCCAAACTTAAAAACAAGAGATTACCTTGAAACAAAAAAAAAGATCCAGAGACAGAATTCTGAAAACGAAGTCCTCAAAGTCTACTTCTTAGCTAAAAATGGAGCGTTTACAGTAAATTCTGTTTTCCTGATCCACGTATTTTATGCGGACGATAAGTTGCATAATCTCATAGAGGACCACAGGCGCACGTTCCCTGCATGGAGGAAGTTTCCAGGACATCCAAAGAGGAAGAAGAGCGAGTGAGAATCCACACTGCCAAGCATCCCGTGCTGGCTTCCACCGCCATCTGCACACGAGCACTGCACACCCTCACCCTCGTGCTCCCCAGAGGGACTGGCTACTACACCACACTGCGAACCACGCCAGTTGGTGCCCCAGGTGTCCACTCCACACAGCCACCTGCACACCTGCTGCCTTCCTTCACCTCCCTGGACGTTCCCTGCTAAAGTACATCTTGAAACTTCCTGGGGAAAAAGGTTTTAGGTTTGTGACTAGAAGTACAGTGGAAAGTAATTAGGACAAGTGTACATGCAATTAAAATGACTCATGTAACTGTCTGGCACAGGAAACGAGATCATGTCCACAGCTGCCTAGGAAATGCACTCGCTTCCAATTCCACGCTGGCTTGTACTTTGGAACTGACTCGTGATCTCAGATCCTTTCACCACCAAACGTAAGCTCTGTTCAGCGTGTTAGGTGCCTTAGATCCAGGCCATTAAACACAAAATAAAATGAACTCACGTTGTTGCCCTCAAAATCAGGGGTGTTCTCATGTATCTCTTCATCTTCTTTAACTATCTCAGCTTGTCTCTGGGGAGAAAATACACCACATTTTATCAACTGCTTATGTCGAACTCCTTTAAAAAATCAGAGAGCACGTGAAATAGTGTGACCTTCTAGACCACTTCTACAGGTAGAGCTGGGGAAGTCACTGCAGTTTCTCCAAACACAGAATGGCATCCACTCCGCATTTCTGTGTTCGGCTCCACCAGCAAAACGTCAACCTGCTTGGTAAAACTGCTGGAGAAACCTCCTTCTTATAAGGAGTGGCGTGGGTGCTCCAGAGGCCTCTGGTCAGCAGGTGCTTTTGTAATTCTTGGGGCACCATAAGGACCCCACCCAGGGCCCTCTGCTCCCTGGTCAGCAGATGCCCTCCACAGCCTGCCTGACCTCACTCCTCATACAGCAATGGGTTCTCACTCTCCATCGTTATTTCCTAGTTTTCATGGCGCACTGGCAAAAGACAAGGATCTGTCCTAATCTGTGTCCTGGAGCTTCTCTCTGCTCTTGGGGAGAATAATGTGGTTCTGTGGCCAAAGAAAAGACTCTCTGGGACAAACTCCCTTTATATTTCTGTAGCTGTCAGGACAGGCTGATGAGGCTGCAATAACAAGCCAACCAAGCATGCGTGCTGCACTGCAGCTGGCCAGGGGCGTCCCGTCCCCACAGCCACTCAGAAAACCCACTGATGGAGGCCCTGGCGCCTCCTGCTTCCTGATTGCAAAGGAAGAGAAGATGCAGTGTGGGAAATCACACACTGGCTCTTCATGCACCTGCCTGGAACCACTCACATGTCATCAGGGAAGGCAGGTGGCATGGCCACCCTGAGTCAAAGTGGGTAGACAAGTGCATCCTCATTGTGTGACCAGAGCAAAAGAACTGCCATTAGTAATGAGCCATAAAGACCCAACGGCTCCTGCCAGCTGACCTTGAATGTGCAAGAACAGGGTTCCGTGGTGAGGCAGACGTGTAGGTATGTCTTCAGTATGGCCGACCCCATCAGCCCAGACCTCAGACCCTCTGAAAACTCAGACCAAGCCTGCATGAGCATTATCTTCCTATAGCTTATGTAGAAAAGCAGTCACAATGAATAAAACTCTATAGGGAGTGCTCAAACCACATAAAAAGTAAGCTTTGTAACAACTTATTATTTTAAAGAATAATCGACATAATGTCAATCAAAAACATGTTATTTTAAAGAATAGTCGAGGTGATGTCAATCATTGATTCATTCATTTATTCAGCAAGTATATAGAGGACACCTGCCATACTGAACACCACAATGCCAGAAGACACGAGTGATTGTGAGTACAAACAAGGCCCTCAAGAAGTCGAGAGCCTTATAGGGAAGACACATTAATTACACAGTCACACAAACAAAAGAACCGTGACAGGTGCTACAAGGAGAGGTACATGGAACAGAAAGAGAATGTAATAGTATTTAACATACATGGGACAGCAACAAAAATATCCTCTGGTAATTGACTGTTACTGTAAGATCTGAAAGATGAAACAAAGTTAATATATAAAAACAGATGGGAAAACATGCCTGGCGCATGGAGTAGCATGTGCACAGCCCTGCTGCAGGAAGCAGCACTGAGCTTCAGAGTTGCTGGGGATCAGTGCCTGAAAAGCAGGAGTGACAGCAGCAATCTAACCAGAAGAGGATGCTAAGTAGGACCAGAGCGATGGTAACACAGGCAGAGAGGGGTGCAGAGATTCCGACACATTTAGGAGGTAAGACTACAGAGTCCAAGATGATCTGGATATGGGAGAGGTGAAGAGGTCAGTCTCAGGAATACCTCTTCAGTTTCTCTTTGGTCTGACGGAATGGATGGGGGTGTCATTCATGCATGGATACAGGAAGAGAAGAAGGTTTGAGGACAGGGGAAGGAGACTGTGAGTTGTGTTCTCACTCTGCTGAGCTTCAGCGTCTTAGGACATCTACGGGAGGTGTTAATTCAGCAGATGTGCATGTATTCCTGGAGGTCACAGACACTGACGCTGGGGTGACAGAGAATTTTATATCACATAGAGAGGACGTCCAGAGTGAGAGAAGAAGATGCCCTACCCCTCATCCTTGCTGAATGCCAGCATCTGATGGCCAGCGAGATGACCAGAAGCCTAACAGAAGGACAACGAGTGGCCAGAGGGAAAAGGGAAGTCAGGAGTCTCGTTTGACAAGATTCCCTTGCCAAAGAAGAGAGCATTGCAAGCAAAGAGAGTGGCCGGGAGCGCCAATGGGTGGTGACGGTCCTGTGCGATGAGAACTGGGGAACATGTTGGGTCTGGTGGCATGGGGCGGAAGAGCTGTTTTGTGCCACTGTGGGCAGAAGCCTGAAGAGATAAAGAAGAGGGGAGAAGATGGAGAAAGTGAGGAGACGCCACTCCCTGCAGATCAGCTCTGCGCGTGAAGGAGAGAGACACGCTCAAAGAGGACTGAGACCAAGGCAGAGTTGTTTTTACTCATAACACGAGTGCTTTCAGCGTGCTCACATGCCAGCCAGAAGGACTCGGGCATGGGAGAAGCTGAAGACACCAAGGAGAGAGAGAGAATTATTAAGCAGTTGATGACACAGAGTTCCTGAGAGGCTCTGAGCAGGGCAGGGTCCAGCATCTGGGAGGAGGGGAGATATGGGTAGGGGAGGATGGACCTCTCCTTCTATGATGAAGAAGGGGCAGATGGCACAGATTAAATATTATCCTGTACCCTGACAGCTGCCTAGCTCACAGTCACAGCTGCCTAGCCCACAGTCACAGCTGCAGAGCTCACAGTCACTCGCTACCTTCTCTCACCGAAAAAAAAAAAAAAAAAAAAAACCACATTTGGCCAGGCGTGGTGTTTCATGCCTGTAATCCCAGCACTTTGGGAGGCTGAAGCAGGTGGATCACCTGAGGTCAGGAGTTCGAGACCAGCCTGACCAACATGGTGAAACCCCATCTCTCTAAACACAAAAAATTACCCGGGCATGGTGGCGCATGCCTGTAATTCCAGCTTCGTGGGAGGCTGAGGCAGGAGAATCACTTGAACTGGGAGGCAGAGGTTGCAGTGAGCTGACATTGTGCCACTGAACTCTACCCTGGGCAACAAGAGCAAAACTCCATCTCAAAAAAAAAAAAATTCAAACATTCAAACTTTTTTCAAATACTATTCATACATTTCAGGGGAACCTGAACCCCTTTCCAGACACAAGAAGTAAAGGTTGATTCCTCTAAACCACCAGAGGTCAATCGCCTCTCCCTGGCTAGGGACAAGGCAGGCATAGACACGCGGCAGCTTTCAGAGGGGTCCCTGGGAAAGCCTTTCCCCGCTGTTTAAACGGTGCAGTCTCTCTCCTCTCTCCAGCACTCCACGTCTCAGTGTGCCAGCCATAGCACACATGCCACCTTGAGATCACGAGGAGACAAGCCCAAGGCCAAAGGCAAAGGTGCGGAGGGAGGCAGTGGAAGAATGGGGTGCCCAGCCATACCCTGAGGCTCGAGGGGGCCAACCCCAGAGTCTCTCCCACACAGAAGGCTCAAGTCCTTCTGTGACGTGGCCTCAGAAATACTCCTGATTGTTGAAGTCACTTCTCTTCAAGTTTCCCGTTCTTTAGAGCCAAAACATCCTTACAGATAGAGTGGCTAATTCTACTTTTAATTTATTCATTAAAGCAAACACCCCAAGGACCCAAGTGGCCTCCGTCTGAGTTACTCTACACAGCTAAAAGTGCCAAAGCCTAAAGCTTCCTTAGATTTTTTCTAATTAAACAATTCACAGATTACCCAAGTTTAGATTGACCTTCTCCTAATGAGTCCCAATTATTTTGGTTTCTCTTTGGTTGGTGACTTATTCTCATCTTTCTCCGGAGGGAAATGCATCACACCCCTGGGAGGCGCAGTGCAGGGGGCACTGCCCTAGTTGCTATTTGAGAATCCAAGGAAAGATACTCTCCGTTTGCACTGACTCTTTGAGACTCTCTAAAAATAACTGAATTTCAGAAGAGTAGAAATGGACCCAATCCTTTGTGATTTCAGTCAAACCAAGATTCTTGCGCCTCAGCTGAAGACCTGGGGTTTGCACAGCCTACTTACCACCTGGGGAAGGATGAAGCAGCCTGCTCTACTAAAATGGAATTGGCCATGTTCAGAGTAAATTCTAGACTATTTCCCTGAGAAAGGAATTCCAGGTGAGTGTCCCGGGCCCGGCAGGGTTTCCAATTGTACACATTAGCCCACCTTCTTAAAGTAGTTTTGAAAATAAATATAATCTTATCACTGGAAGAAGACTTTGCTTTTGTAAAAATGTAGTACTTGAATCAGAATTTCAACATTAATGTTTTAACATCTGGGTGCCATTTTTTTGCACAGATTATAAGAAAATTGTTCCTTAACATTGAGGTAAAATGACGAGACTTTAACGTAAAAGTTCACTGCTCTCTACGGATGAAAGCTTATCGGGCAGCAGGCACACAGGCCATGCACCCCCGCCCATCTACAAATTCCCTCTGCTGATGGAAATGGTGGGGGAGGGGTGGATGCCAGAGGGATACATTACCTGCTATTATAACCAAAGATAAAAAAAGTTTGAAGACAAATTATAATTTCTTAAAAATGAAAACTCAAGAAAGGAGAGAACGCATGTTTGGCCTTCAGGTGGGTAGTGAAGACAACGCGTGCATTTTAGGAGATCATTGAGCACAAACTGCCATTTGCCCGAGTGCTGGAGACTCACCCAGGTGCACAGCTGGGCTGGAACCCTGGCCTGACCCCACCCCTTCTCAGAACCCTGCTCCCCACCCCTCCCTGAGGCCAGGAGGAGGGAACAGTGCCCCAGCGCCCTCCATGCGCCAGTGCTGGTCGCACACTCGGGCCACACACAGGCCTGCACAGAGGCAGCATCCCCATCTGTGGATAAGGAAACAGAGGCTCAAGGTTTCACAATCATGCCGTCCAATCACACTGTTTATTCCATTATTCAGTCATCACTCCACAAAAAACTACCAAGGCCTCCTCCGTGCCAGGAATTCTGCAAGGTACAGGGCCCAATAGTGAGTGAGGCAGCCAGCTGCTTTCCTTACGAAGTTAGTAGCTTAGTGAGGGGACAGACACAATCATCAAATAATGATGAAGCCAAATTTGCAGTCACACACAGTGAAGTGTTAAAAGGCGTCTCTCCAGCAGAAGCTGTGGGGGTGGTGGGAAGACAGGAAAATGCTTGACAAAGGATCTGAGATGAGCAGTCTCTAACTAGGAGGAACACAGAACATTCTAGAGTCCAGAGAGAATTTGCAGGGAGAGGGTTAAGGATGACGCTGAGGCAGGCAGGAGCTGTTGGGATGGAGTGAAGGCAGCATGGACATCAGACCCCCAATACCCACCTGGTCCACAGGCACCTCCAGCTGCACATGGTGGTCCTCTTTGACGTCCAGCGCCCCTTCGGTTTCCTTGCTAGGAGTCAGTGCTTTATACACGTCACCTTCTGGGGGAAAATCACACGGACAAACCTTTGAAACCCATGGAGAAGCTGGAGTCCACTGCATATTTCCTGACCCAAACCCAAGTTATGAAGCCAGGCATCCTGGAGCTTCAGGCAGGTCACCTGGCCCAGGGTCCCAGACCCCGTCCGCCTCACCCCGTTTCCCTCTCACCCTTCCTGTTTGCATCTGCCAAGGGGTTCAGTGTGGTGGCCTCGATTTTAGCCCCGTCTGCTTTTGTCTCTGTCTCCATGAAGGTCCCGGACCCTGAAAGTCATGCGATTACTGTGCCCACCACAGTAGTAGTCAGTAGTCACAGAAAGTCATGCGATTACTGTGCCCACCACGAGATGAAGCACAGGGAAAGCCTGTGTCCACCAAGCCTGTGTCCAGTTAATTCCATTAGAAATAAATACATGCAAAGTAACCCCACCGGACAGCAAAGTAATAGAGTAAATTTTAAGAAAACACAGCTTCAGTCAGGTGCAGTGGCTCACGCCTGTAATCCCAACACTTTGGGAGGCCGAGATGAGTGGATCACCTGAGGTCAGGAGTTTGAGACTGACCTGGCCAACCCGTCTCTATTTAAAACTACAAAAACTAGCCAGACTTGTGGTAGACGCCTCTAATCCCAGCTACTCAGCAAGCTGAGGCAGGAGAATTGCTTGAATCTGGAAGGCAGAGGTTGCAGTGAGCGGAGATCGCGTCATTGCACTCCAGCCGGGGTGTCAAGAGCCAAACTGCATCTCAAAAAACAAAAAAATAAAAAAAAAAAAAAGAAAGGAAATGCAGCTTCATCGCTTCTTATTTAACAACAGGGTTCGAACAACCAGGTGCTAAAATTGTGCACTGTGAGGTAGTCGGCTTAATGGATTGCTAGAAATCATTTTAATTAGCAACACAACTGGAAGAATTAAATGCTTATAAAAGCCCAGGATTCTTGAAAAGTTGATTCTCATCCTGAACAAAGCAATAGGTGACAGCAGAAGAAAAAGAGAAGAAGTCAGCCAGCCGGTTCCTCCAAATCCAAAAAGAGAAGTCAGCCAGCTGGTTCCTTCAGCATCTGAGAAGGCAGAACTGTGGCCACTGGCAAGCTCCATCGTCCAAAACCAGAAACTCTAATCGCAGCCCCATTCATTTCTCGGCCAAGAGTCCTGGACCTACCTCACCCCTCACCTGGCCCATTCTGGGCCTTCTCCCCATTCCCGGGCCTTCTCCCCATTCCCAGCCCTTATCCCCAGGAAAACCGTCCCCAGAGTCCTGAACTGAGCCAGAAGGGTCCCTACCCTTGTGGGTGACAGGTTAGAAGGTGAGAGAGGGGGGTGGGGAAATAACATTCACTGGGAACCCACTGTGTCCCAGGCATTTGATATTTAAAGCTCGTGGCAATCCCCAAACAAACTTACTAGGCCTGTGGTCAGTAAGGAATTGGCCCATAGCTCCATGCTCAGTGAGGGCCACAGCTAGGATCTGAACTTCAAAGCCACGTTCTAGTACCAGGTTGCCTCCCAGATGGAAGGCCTGTGTGCTGGGCAGCTCCAACTGCTTGTGTGGGATGTACATCGCCAAGGAAGAGGTTTTATACACAGTGATCAAATTTTCTATTACTCTTGATATATAGTAATATGTCGGGTAGAGTGGGTTCAGCAGGTTTTGGTCTGAGAGCTGCCTGTCCACTCTCCTGCCTACATGCTCACACACCTGCCTCGTAGCCTCATAACCCCATACCCCTAACCGTGACCCTAACCCTACATGCATGAGCATGTAGGCCACACTCCCGCCCGGGTACTCAGGCACCTGCCTCGCCTCCCCATGGCCCATGCATTCATTGTGGGGTGGGAAGGGCCAGGAAGGTAAAGGACCAGGGGGAAGCTCTAGGGGATGTCCAGATTTATAGCTGAGAAGCAGAGAGAGGAGCAACAGGGGGAGCCAAGAGATCAGAGTGCAAAGAGGACAAAACCTGAGAGGTGTTAGGAGGTAACAGAAGCCAAGGGGGGGCTGGGCATGGTGGCTCATGCCTATCATCCTAGCACTTTGGGAGGCCGAGGCAGGTGGATCACTTGAGGTCAAGAATTCAAGACCAGCCTGGGCAGCATGGCAAAACCCTGTCTCTACTAAAAATACAAAAATTAGCCGGGTGTGGTGGCAGGTGCCTGTAGTCCCAGCTACTTGGGAGGCTGAGGCACAAAAATCACTTGAACCCAGGAGGCGGAGGTTGCAGTGAGCTGAGATCACACCACTGCACTCCAGCCTGGGCGACAGAGCAAGGCATCATCTCAAAATAAAAGAAAAGAAGAAGCCAAGAGGGGAGGAAGGGTGTTTAGGAAAAACGACTTCCAAAAATGTTTAGCTGCTGCAGAGAAGTACAGAAAAACCTCTCCCACCACCTTGCTTTCTCCTCCATAACCAGCCACATGACTCACAGTCTAAGTATCCACCACGCCCATAAATGAGACGGGACCTGAATGTGCCTCATTCGGAGCTGGGCACCCAGTAGGAGCTCAGTGAGAGTGAGTAATGGTCGCAGAGTGGTAAAAACAGATGTGGGAGCACTTTCTAAATTATCTCATTTTAAAACCAGCCCTGAAGATTCATCGTTTAAATGTCTCTTCAAAAAAAATACACCTAAACAATCCAGGTGGCTTTTATGTTCATGTTCCTCCCAAAAGATAGATTTATTTGTTGTTTTCTATGTCATCAGTCTTTAGGAAAGAAGATACTCAGTCCTGGTGTAAGCTTATTTTAACACTGTATTTATCTTGGAGGCCCCCTAATTAGAGAATCCCATTGCCTTCAGCAGTGAAATTTTGTTTTTCTGCTCTGCCAACTACTGACCTACCTACAAGCTGAACCTTTTATTAATAAAGCAGATAGTTACAAGTCAAATAATATTTCTGGAGTATAAAATTTTTCTAAAAAAAAAAAATCCCATGTTCTTAGCCTGGTAAAGTTCCGAACTGCTTACAGTAGTATGAAATTGCACATCACCTGCTCCTCTTTGGACTAAAGGTTCTGCCAATGTTTTCTTCTTTTCTTCTTTGGCATAATAAACAGAATCCTGTGTTTTGGGGGGTATGTCATCATAGTGACAAGGTTCTTTTCCTTTGGAATCCACCTACAGGACAAAGGAAGAAGAGAAAACCCATTAGGAACACTGGGATACAAGGAGTCCGATCAGGTTCTCTGAGTGTGGTCAGGAAAACACGGGCTCCTCGGAGAAACAGGAGGGGGAAACTCAAGCACCTCCAAGAAGCCTCACTTCAAATGCAGCCTCTTCTACTCTATGACTTGCACTCCTCTCTGAAAAGCAGCAAAAATAATTCTCTCCCTCCCTCCCAGTGCCTTGGCAGGCAGAGAAGGTTCATCCACTTCCTACCTGTAGGTGGCCTTCCTAAAACCTGACAAAATAAGGGCTTGCTTTAGAGGAACAAGCAAGTCAAAGGAGGCGCCTCTGGTTTTTTGGAGACACTCTTTAAAGCCTAATGAAAACTGCTATTCAACAAGCACCACGAAGCCATTCCTGCTGGAACCTCCGAGCAGGATGAGAGTAGCTGTGATGAAAATTAGCCTTGTGGCGGTTTACTTTGGGGTTGCAATAAAGGAGGACTCACATGTTTTTTAATCTGTAAACAATAACAACAAAGCACAACTAGAACACAAAGTAAGATGACATGCAGCTATCTGCTCCTCAAATTAGGACGTGGTCACATCCTGATGAACATGTCCTAAGGTGAAAGTGTCTTAAGTGGAAAATGCATTGAATACACCCAGCCCACTGAACAACATGGCGCAGCCCTACCTTAACGTGCTCGGACACTTACGCTGGCCTGGAGGCGGGAAAAGTCATCTGGCACCGCCGTCCACTGCAGAGGGCACGTGGCTGACAGGGAGCTGAGGCCATCACTGCCCAGCATTCCAAGTATCCTACGGCTTTCTACGGAACGCCTGAGGCTTTTGCAGTATCATACAGTCAAAAACCCTAAGTCGAACTAAGTCAGGACTGCCTGTAATTCCCTTAGCAGCATTCCAATTCTATCTTTATAATACAAATACCCCATAAACTATCTTTATAATACAAAATGTCTTTTTTAGGTTTTCTTTTTTCGATCTTTTCTCAAGTATTTGGAAGTGAATGCAGGCTGAAGTATATAAATAGGTATTTCTCCCAAGCTCTCTATGTCACTTGAGAAATGTCAAACTAAAAACACCTACCTTGTACCATTAATATATTGTATATGATGCAAACTACCAGGTTTTTGATCTTTGTGGAAATTAAGGTATGAAAATAGCCCTCCAACTTTATACATGCAACCACACAAAATGTTTCTACCTACTTTAAGGAGTTTTCCTATGAGCTGAAATCATGTTCTTAAGGAGAAGAAATGAGATCTTAGCAGAACTGGTCATGGAAACAGAAAACGGTATATGGTACCTATATTTTGTCTGGGGGTTGGAATTCTGAAAGTCTAGTTGATTCTTTTTAGTATCACTGAACTCTGGTTGTTGAGACACATTTTCCATAACTTTGGCCTCTAAGATAAAGACACTGTGTGTGTGTGTGTGTGTCTGTGTGTGTCTGTGTGGGGGGGGTGTGTGCGTGTGCGCGCGCGCGCCTGTGTGTGTGTCCTATTATCTCTGGAATAGCACTCAAAGGACAATGACAAGAATACAGGACCCATCCTCATAATGAGGGCACAGAAGAAATTGTGACACAGAACACACAGCAAACAACCGCCCACGGTATGACCCAGCTCCCACCACCCTGGGGCACTGCAATGAAATAACATCGCAGAGCCTCCACCCGGACCTGGAAAGTCGCCCGAAACGAAAGTAACTTTGGATGCAGCAGGATGGCTAGGCACACAGGGGGCACCATGTCATTACACCAATTTATTTCTCATCTCATACCTTATCCAAGCACACTCAGGAAATGTGAGTTTTTGCAAATACCTTATTTCTGTGAAACTGGGAGCAGCACAGGTGCAGCCTCCTGCCAAGTCTTAGCTCAAATTGTCCCTCTGCCCTGTCACTCCCAAGAGGGGTGCCCTGTCCTTTCCCTTTCCCTTCACACTTTAATCACAGCAGTATATGTAATCCCTAGACAATTTATTGATGATGTTTGTTGTGTTTTTGTTTCATCAGCAGAAGGTTAGAAGCCACCCAAGGGCAAGGATGTCAGTTTGTTTCTCCATTAAAGAATTCCCAGAGCCGGCCGGGCGCGGTGGCTCAAGGCTGTAATCCCAGCACTTTGGGAGGCCGAGACGGGCGGATCACGAGGTCAGGAGATCGAGACCATCCTGGCTAACCCGGTGAAACCCCGTCTCTACTAAAAAATACAAAAAAAAAAAAAAACACTAGCCGGGCGAGGTGGCGGGTGCATGTGGTCCCAGCTACTTGGGAGGCTGAGGCAGGAAAATGGCATAAACCCGGGAGGCAGAGCTTGCAGTGAGCTGAGATCCGGCCACTGCACTCCAGCCTGGGCAACAGAGCGAGACTCCAAAAAAAAAAAAAAAGAATTCCCAGAGCCTAGAACCATGCCTGGCACATAGCAGATGCTCAGTAAATATTTGTTAACTGAACAGGTGAATAATCCTAGCACACCTGATCACTCCCCACCATTCAAACCCTTAAGGAGGTAGGCACAGCCTTGGGAAGACATCCAAACTCCTTAACCCAGCACAGTGGCATTCATGCTCCAAGACCCACCTGCCTTCCTAGTCCAAGCCATCCTTCCCTGCACCATACCTGTGCCCCCATAGCTCCCTTCTACCTGGAATTCCCTTCCTCACCTTCTTATGACGGCTCATCCTCCAAACCCCAGCTCAAGCCTTACCTCAACGGTCTCTTTGATGTGTTCCTATGACACCCTGACATAACTAACCACAGCGCTAAACCAAAAGTCAGCTCTCAATATGTGCATGTGTTCAATTCAGCAAGCATACAACAGTTGCTTAGTAAATCTCTGCTAATTTAATGAACTGAGCAGGAGGATGGAAAGAAAGTAGGGAAAGAAGAGGTTGAAAGAGTTGAAAATCTGACATTTCTTCAGACAAGAAAAGGCAGGGCATTGACAGACACAGATTCTGCAGGCCAATATCTACATTAAGTACATATTTTTTCTGAACTATTTGGGAGAAGGTGTCTTACATCATACACCTTTGCCTCTTAGTACTTTAGTCCTTAATACTGAAGACATGTGATCTATTTAATACTTCAGGGTGTATTTCCTCACAACAGAAACATCATCTCTCACATAATCACAGACAATTGCCAAATTCAGGATATTCATCTGATATAGTATTTTCATCTATTCTACCATCCATATTCCACTTTTGTAACTGTCCCAAAAATGTGCTTTATAGCATTTTTCACTCAAGAAAAGATCGGTTCAGGATTCACACCACATTTAGATGTCAGACCTCCTGAGTCTCCTTTCACCTGGAACAGCTCCTCAGACTGTCTTTCATGACCTTGGCATCTTTGAAGAATACAGGCCTGTCTTGCATTGTTTTATAGAAAGATCTAGAGTTGGCCATGTGTTAGTCCATTTTCATACTGCTATGGAGAAATACCTGAGACTGGGTAATTTATGAAGAAAAAGAGGTTTAATGGACTCACAGTTCCACAAGGTAGGGGAGGCCTCACAATCATGGCACACCTTCTCCACAAAGTAGTGCCCTGTCCTTTCCAGCTAATGCCATCTACAGGACACACAAATATGCCCGTCCCTCTCAAACTTCCCTGCCCTAAACTTTGGTCCAAACCTGAGTCTGTCCTAGTCAACCTTCAGAATAAAGCTTGTTGATGAACCTCATTTAGGTGGAATATCTTGACTTCTTAAACAGCGCAAATTACAATACGAGTTGGAAAACTCACTGAAAGAAAGCAACAAAATTTTAATTCCACAGAAAAGGGAAAACATAATCTAACCCCAAACACTACATGAGGACCTTACACATTGAATCACACCCAATCCTAGTACTGCACTTACTTTTCTTAATTTTTGCTCAGTTTAGACTGTTGTTTAAACGTTGAGTCTCAAAGCAGTTCACAATACTTGGGTCAGAGGACAGCACAGACTACATCTTCCTAGTTGCATATAATAGAGGTAAGTGACGAGAACTGATGAAGTCGATGCCTCCTCTGGTAACATTACAATTCTAATTTAGTCTGCTCATGTTAACTACCATGCTAATAGACTAAACATCTGCAAAGGTTGCAATAAAGCAGGATTCAAATTTTATTCCAGTTTTCTCGTATCTGAGCAGTAGCATCCTCAACAGTCACTGAGCTCTGGTGGGTGAATTCATTCATTCCCCCAGTAATCGCCTACTGAGTGTCTACAAGGTATCCAGCTGGAAAATACATGACTAAAGAGCACGGTTCTACCCCGGAGATCACAGCAGAGAGAAACGCACAGGCACGGTTCTACCCCGGAGATCACAGCAGAGAGAAACGCACAGGCACGGTTCTACCCCGGAGAGCGCAGCAGAGAGAAACGCACAGGCACGGTTCTACCCCGGAGATCACAGCAGAGAGAAACGCACAGGTAGCACCAAGCGCAAGTGCCTCACTTGGTTTTGTGTCCAGCCCAAAGAGCAGAGTCCATTCTAAAGTGTGGGCTGTGAAGGATGCTGGAGTGAGCCCAAAAATGGCTTTACAGAGAAAATGGTGCTTACAGTCAGACGACGGGAACAGTCAACAGCAGGACATATATTCCACGGAGAGAAGAAAACAGGTAACAGTAAAGCGCTGTGAGACCAGAGACCCCGCGCAGCAGTGGTGGGACTACAGCCACCTTGGCGGGTGCTCTTGCATTGACGACACAGAGCTGGACGAGGAAACGAAAGCCTGGGTATGAGCCAGGGTCGAGGGCAAGGAGCCTTCAGTTACGGCGCTAATTAAATCTCCCTTTTAGAAAAATCCGTGACCATTCCAGGAGCCTGGCCAGCAGCGGGCCCTCCTGAGCTGGGTGACATCCCGAGCCGCGCTCACCAGCACTGGGTCGTGGGACCGCCACATCAGCTGTGTGGTCTCAGGTCCCTCCAAGGTGCGACAGAATGGAGACGGTGCCTGCCCCCTGGGGCTGTGCTGGGGACCACAACACTTCAGACA